TAGTAAAATAAACAGCTACAATGGTGTCAGTTTTATCAGTTCATGTCTGAGTATTTCTCTGATCCTTACTAATAAAATGAAGGTGAAATAGATATTGTAGAGTGAGTGTAAGTGAGTGTGTGAATGAAAGAGTGTGTGGGTGTTACTCAGCACTGGGGGTTTATGAGTTATTTGTGGTTCACTCTGCTGGAGCAGCTCCTCATAAGGAAGAAAATAACCTGAAGGAAAGCGAGTGTAAGTGTTCACTTTAATTTTTAAAACTTTGCAGGCCTTCTACATCCACCTACCATTTGAGGTTATACTTTCTAGTGTTCTAGTATACTTGCTAGAGGTTACACTCTACAATTTAACATTTCCAACAAATGAAGGCTATTTCATTGGCTTTTTGAAATTACTTATTTATTAAATGTTATTCAAATAAACAGGTAAAAGATATACAATTTCAGTATTAATGCTAATTCAAATTAAAAAGCTGTTTCAAAGTCCAAACATTACATCTTTAAACCACTATGAGTGAAAACTGCAGCAGATATTCTGACTCTGATTGGCTATTGTCATTTAAGTGTTTCTTATCAGCTCTGGATTCACCTTTGGGCTGATCCAGCCAATAGCAGACCTGCAACTACTAAGAGGCAGGGCTAAAGAAAGTAAGGGACCATCTAGTTGGTCAAATTTAGATAAAATACAAATGCATAAAATAAATGTAATTGATCACACTGGAAAAAATGCTTTTCTTGCTAAGATTTTTTGTCTTATTTCTAGTCTAAATATCTAAAGTTTCTTATATCAAGAAGCATTTTCTAGACAAGCAAAACATATTGTCTTGTTTTGAGAAATAAAATGCCAATATTACGTGATTTTTCCTTAAAACAAGCAAAATAATCTGCCAATGGGGTAAGCAAATTAATCTTGTTTTTTCTTTTGACGTAAGATTATTTTGCTTACCCCATTGGCAGATTATTTTGCTTGTTTTACGGAAAAACTCAGACAGTATGTTTTGCTTGTCTAGAAGTTTCTTCTTGATTTAGGAGTTGTTAAATATTTGGACTAGAAACAAGACAAAAATCTAAGTAAGAAAAGCATTTTTTGCAGTGCACATATATTGCATATACTATTATCATGATCACAATAATTTTGCCATGTATTGTGCAACTCCATTACTAATCAAAAATTCTATTTTAATATATTTATGGGTGCATTTTACAAAATGGCATTTACTGAACATGATCTTTATTTAATATCCTAATGATTTATGGCATTTAAAAAATATATTTTTGGCGATTCCCAAAAAAAAAAAAAAATCTATGCATCCATTCATTCATTTAATTTTCTTCGGCTTAGTCAAGTTCCAGTTCAATTTCAATTTATTTTAGAAAGCACGTTTCCAACTGCCACAAAGCTGCACAAAGTGCTTTATAGAAAAAAACTGTATGGACATTATAAACAATAACAGCAATAGGCACATACTGCAATACTGTAATTACTGTGTTTCTCCTCTGTTTACGACGTTTGAAGTAGAGCGGCCGTCAACATAAAAATTCTGGAATGTAGTTGGGGACAGCGTTAGATTTGTTGTTAAGATTGTTTGTAGAACATGTCTCGCTAAAGCTAACAGTGTTCAAAGTAGTAGTCAAAACTACCTCTATTATGGTAAGAGCATCATGGTCATAAATAAAAATGGTACAACTGATGATAGGTGATAAAAGCAAGAAAAGCAATAAAGACAATGGTAAAATAAAAGGATGTCAGAGCGGCAGACGGCATGCCAAACAGCCTGGCGCCATCTTGCACCATACCCGTACCCCTATTATTTATCAGGGGTCGCCACAGCGGAATGAACCACCAACAATACCAGCATATGTTTTACACAGCGGATGCCCTTCCAGCCACAACCCAGTACTGTGAAACACCCATACACCTATTTAGTTTATTCAGTTCACCTATAGCATGTCTCTGGACTGTGGGGGAAACCGGAGCACCTGGAGGAAACACACGCGAACATGGAAGAACATGCAAACTCCAAACGGAAATGGCAACTGGCCCAGCAGAGACTTGAACAAGCAACATTCTTGCTGTCAGTGCTAACCACTGAGCTTCTGTGTCACCCAATATCTGTACAAAGACAAAAGTGCACCAACAGATCTAGTGTTCCCTGAAGATCCTTTAACAATCACATGCTTTTGTTTTGAAATCTTTTAAGACCTGATCTCTAAAATGGTTCTTCAACCAAAAATCCCTTTTAGGACGGTTTATTTTTAACTTGTGAATCTTGATAAGCTTCTTTCCCAGATGAAAGCTCACTGATTTCATTTGGTGGTAGCCCAAGAGCAAGTGGTGTAAGAATGGGGATAATCTGAGGCAGCGGAACTCGCACTGTTTGCTGACACCATTTAGCAAAGCGTGCTCTTTACAATGGAACACAGAGGCCCTGTCCATCAACAAGGCATGAAGAATGCAAACTGAAGAATCTCCAGCCTGAGCATTCCAGTGCTAGCAAACACCACATACTTGTAAATAAACTTGATGTAAGGAAAGAACTGTTCAACCTAAACCACATACAAATACATGCACTCATGCATAGCGACTAAATGTGGAGCAGATACATTTTTCAAAAATGCTGTCTCACTACTAGGCTAGTTTATAATAATATAGCATACTCTGCAAATGTTTTTTGTTTGTTTCTCAGGGCGCCTATTCTGAGCGTGAGCTTTTTCTGGTCTGGTCTGACTGAATGTGTGCCCCATACTGTTTTACCCAGAATACTTGATGAATTCTGAGAATACTGACCGCATAAACCATCGCAGAATGGGCCAAAATCAACACACATGCTTTTAAGTTTCTGTATTGTCTTATGACACGATAGCAAGTGCTAAGCCAACACAATCTCACGGCAATTCATAACTTTTTGATTTAGTGGCTAATTCGTATAATCTAATTCGTACAATTTAGTACAATTTGCTCATCCCCCAATGATGGTTGGGTTTAGGGGTGGGGTTTGGTGCCACGCCTCCTTTTTAAAATCGTACATTTTCGTACGACTGAACTCTATTAGCCACTAAACTGGCAAAATGTAAAATATTTTTGTTTTTTCGTTAGATCAGGCTGGCTAAGCATGTCACATGAAGAAAACACACTGTAAAAAATGCAGGGTTCCACACAATTCATTTATGTTGTCCCAACACAAATCTTTTAAACATTAAAAAAGTCTTAAGAATTGTGTTGTTTCTGCTCATTTGACATAAGTAGTTTGAACAAGCAGCAAAATATATTTTTTGAGTGCACTAAAAGGTAGTTTCACTCATTCTTCTGTAAATATTTTAACATCTGTAATGGGATGCTGCACTGAAACAGCTGATAGTCTTCATTTTTACCCATGTCATTTTACGTGACTGATCTCATTATTTGCTAACAAATGCTGGGTTTCACACAATTCTTTCATGTTGTCCTAACACAAATCAAGTTAGCTTTATTTTTTAACAAATTTAAGGGGATTGAACATAATCAAATTAAGTTCGAATGTATAATGCTTTTTTTTGTGTTTAAAATAACATGAATTTATGTTTTTGATGAAAGTCTGGATTAATAAATATATTGGATATTTCACAGGTTTGTTGGAAGAACTTCATTATTTTATTACTGCATGGTGTCATGATTTACATCCCCATTCCTTGTGTGTGTTTTCTGTTTAACCTTTATGTCATGTCTTGTTTCAGTCATTTTTACCTTAGTTATTTATTGTCTCACCCCCCTCCTCATCTTGTTTAGCTAATTGTTTTCAGCATTATTTGTCCCCTCTTGTTGTCTGTTGATTTTTTCATTACTTCCAAGATGTCATAGATGATCCTTAGTCTGTTATGTTTTCTGTTATGTATTCCTTGACTTGAGCATGGATCCTCAACTCTTTATTTACCCATCGTACACAAGATGGAAAATTTGGGCTCCTTCTTTCATGTCAGAATAAATGATTAAAAAAACGAATGAAATAGTTACAGATAAAACAATTTTAAAAGCAGTTTTAAAATAAAAAGTTAAATCTCCTCCACAGACTAACATGTACTGCTATTGTAAAAACACACCTAAATAATTTACAAATCTTACACTTTAAAAAATATTGGCTTGTCGTTACACAACAGTGGTCAAATGTAGACAAACTCTACGAATGACTTTAAAAGTGCGTTAAATTTATTAACTTAAATTTAAACTTAATTTAAATTTAATAAAATTTAATTCAATTGAATAAAGAAGTAAAAATAACCCAACATCCTTTGTTGGTTTGTCCATATTTGACTGAACACTCTAATGTTAATTTCCAAATTACCTCATACATGATTTTTTTTTTTAAATTATTTCAATATCTGTAAAATACTTTAATGGGACTTGGCTAATAAGAACAGCTGTGTTTAATATCTAATGTCAACGAAGATAATTAAATACTGACCAGTATATGAATCGATGCTAGTTAATAACAAACAATAACTAATGTGAATAATGGGTTTAGAGCTACCACTAAACGCTTTGAAAGAAATAGCATTTTGTGACATTATGTTCCAATAAAATAGACCAATGTGTAAAGTGTAACATATTTATGAAAAATGAGAAAAGACTAACACTTTCATAAGTGAAAGAATAAGTAATTTCATAAATAATTTAGATGTTACCTATTTAAACCAATTAAAATAATTTATACCATTATTATTTTAGACCACCAAACAATACTAATAAAAAAACAAGCTTAAAAGAAACTTGAGGAAAAAAAACAGCTTAAGGGGTCCACTTTATAAAGCACACGCACTTTGCTGTGTATCATTAATTAATTAGCTCATGCATGAATTCATACATTCATTCAATTGAATTCATTGGTTTGTATAATGTCGTCTGACTCAGCTATGCACATAATACAGTAGTGAGATGCGCGTCTATAAAGGGGAGGGCAGTGGGAGGACAGTATGAATATGAGCAAAGCTTCGGGAGGAGGAGGAGATTTAAATGATGAACTTGTTGAAAGGTAGTCAGGGCGCTCATGTGGAAGTGTGCCACTCTATTTGGGAAAGCAGGAAGCACGCAAACTGACGCTGGAGCTCCAGAAGCGCGCAAGGACCTTTAAAACCTGCAAACTGTAACTGCAAACACTGGACATTGCATAAGGACTTATTTAAAACACTTTACCACGTGCATTTACTACAGGGAGCGGTAGATTGGGTGCAATTACGTGACGTGTCACAGCTGTTGAAAATATTAAATTTAAATTGTTTAATTTAATTTGAGAAAACCTCCGACAAGGAAGACGCAATTTGGACATTTAGAATCGTTTTGTGGAATAACTGCTGAAATTGGATGGACTATTCGGGCGGACTACTGTTTGGATTTTCCTTCAATTAAACTTGTCTTGGCGTTCGAGATGAGTTATTTGACGTCACTGTTACGAGTATTTGCCGCGGTGCAGTTGAGCCTTTTACCTGGACAGGTGAGCAAATGGGTCGTTCATTTTTTTTTCACATTTACCTGCACACACTCCGAGTGATTTTTTTGTCACATGTTGGATTTCACAAGACACTTTCTTGCGTTTAATATTTTCAATAAAATTTTTGGTCAGTTTTATTTATTTATTTTTTTTTTTTTTATTTTTTTTTTATTTTTTTTTTATTTTTTATTTTTTTTTTGGTCAAATTTCGGGAACCTCGGTATGTTTGTATACAATAAGTGTCGAATTAAAACTAATTCGAGCTCAAAAAGTTTGTTTTGCTCCTTTTGGTTGCGCTTTATTCACGCGTTCAGTATGAATTGCTAAAATGGGAAAGAAAACCTGTTAGCATGCCCAGAACAGATGCTCAACTATAGTCTTCCTATTTGAAATATAATGAATTAAAAAGAGGATGAGGGGGATTTGAATGTGTCTACGTGTTGTTGACAGTCATGAAAGAGCTGACTGAATGAATGGAGTCGGTTTACTTTTGACACGGCTCCCAGTCAAGCCGCACAGACGGTTGTTTTTATAACACCCTCAAAAACCTGATCCCTTTTTGAAGTGCTGCATCAGAAAGCGTTGAGTCATGAAAGGGAACGTGACGAACTGCATCGCTGTCTAAACCGCAGGCGTGTGTGACACACTGACGTGTTCGCCTTAGTGATGAACCAATGCCAAAGTCATCAAATTAAACAGCCAGACTATATTTGAAAGGCTTTATATTGTTGTCAAAGAAAATTACACACTAATTAGGCAAAATTAGCATGTCTAAGTTGTCCAAGCATGTCATTTACTGTAAGTGCTCCAATATAAACAAAGGTAACACACTGTGTGGTTCAAACCACACTCCTATAAAAGTAAAGGATCTTCACTCTTAAAAATAAAGGTGTCAGAAAGAACTAAAATTTCTGGCATTGATGGTTCCATGAAGAACCTTTAACATTCTTTTTTGTAAATGGTTGTTTACATAATAAAAAATATAAAAAATTGTTTAAGAATGATTCTTTGAAAGGTTCTTTGAGGAAACTAAAATAGTTCTTTTTTTTTAATGGCATTGCTGCGAGGACACAATTATGGAACATTCACTTTTAAGATTGTGTCCTATTTGACATGCCCAATTTCTCATTGATGAATGAGGAGATTATGTTAAGACAGCTCGTACAGTATCACACTTCATGGTATACTCTTAGAGAAAAACCAATGTCAGTGACAGTTCTTTGAAGAACATATTCAAAAATCACATTTCATAAAAGTTTAGTTGGAGAAAAGGGTCATTTAGGGTAATAAAATATTTTCACACTAAGATTATTCTTTTATGACAATGAATTCGATTTAGTGAACAGTTTGTAAAATAATCATTTATTTACTTTGGGGGATCCAGATTGGATATATAGAATTAGGGCTTCACAATATATCGTTTCAACATCGATATTGCAATGTTATCATTTGCAGTAGTCGCATCCTGAGTAAACACAATGTTGAGTCTGGATTATAATTTATCATTTTGCAAGTGTTTTTTGAGGACTGTGACTGTGTGAGGATTTTAAAAGCATTCAGACATAAGAAATTGTACCAATTGTAACTTAACAACAAATTAACAGCAATTAATTTTATTGAATTGTTTATAAAACAAAGACTATGCAGTATTATTTTTACATTTGTTTTTTTAATTACTGTATACCCAAATACAGTTTGACTCCTGTGGAAAACAATGAAACACTTTTTATTTATTTTTCAATTTTGTATATTGTATTTGTCTATGTTTGTGGATAGTTTATTATATTTTATACAGTCCCCTACAGAATCACACCCGTCAATCTAATCAATTCTGAATCTAATTCCTAATCAATTGTTTCCGAATAGTTTTTTAACTTGTATTTATATCGCAATATATATTGCATGTTAGATGTTAGATTTTTGTCCAATATCATGCAGCACAATATAGAATCTATTATAAATATAAGATTATGCACATTTTCGTCATGGCTGTTGTTGATTTTTGTAAGGGTCTCAATATTTTGACAGGATTATTTTTGTCATTTAGGTAGTTTTTTGTTCTTTATGCTAAAGGAGATCAAAATGGCTATATGCACTACCACTATGATTTAAGCTTTCATCTGAATATAATATCCTTCACATTCCTTTTTCTGTCAATACTGTCGGAGATTAGTAGAGAAGCTTCTGTAAATCTGGTATTTTCTATAGTTCCAGATGCGTAAAATGAGCAGTGACGAACATTATAAGAATGTAAATTGCACGTTTGACTTTTGTCATTCAATATTAATCACGCTACTTGCAGGTCAGAACAAAGTTTACATCCATAGTAAAACCTAAAACCGCACAGGTTTTCCGGACCCCACAAATGATTTATGCCTCTATTCACTTCCCCAAATGCACTAATGCCGCATCTCATATCACTTGACTGTAGGTGTGTCACGGCACCTTTGTTTCCTCTTTTCCCTGGCTTGTGCTTGCGGCAAAACTTTGACTTTATTTCAAGAGCTACAGGAAGTTGGCAGTCACCTGCGGTTGCTATTGCTGTGATTATTCAAAGGAACAGGTTTATTTAAGCACTTGTGTAAAATGAATAGACATCTTTCCATCTAAATGCTCAACAAAGCATCATTGGTTTCTTTTAATGTCCTAATGATATGACACAAATGTTTGTGGTACAATACATTAGAAATCCCAGACGTAAATTGATGTCCATTTTATAAGCATTTTTTTAAATAATAAAAAGGATGTTCCCTTAATAGTATAGGTCCAGACATTTGTAATTTGATAATACAATGTTTCTAGTAGCATTTGAAGTAGGTCATTATGGCACATATTTTCAATTTAAAAATATCTTAGACAGAAAGCTGACAATCATAATAAAAAGATACATGAGATTTAGTAAAAATATCAGATAGTGTGACCTTCATAATATTAGTTTAGTTTCATTTTTTATAATAATTTAGATGTGTAGTCTTTCTTAAAATAAAAATGTGGCACTGTTTGTTAATAACTTTGTATTTACCCCAAATACATTTTTAAAAGATCCGTTAAACATAAATAAATACATAATAAGAACATAATATTTTTCCACCTTTCTTAAAGGCACTGAAGAATATTTGCATATCACCTTCCTTCTGTGAATCTCCTGTTCTCTACTTAAGTTTGAAGCGTATGATGCAATCTTGTAATGCTCACTTGTACTGCATTAGGAAAGGAGTTGTTGTATCAAGTTGTATAATCAGCTCACAGATGCTTACTTGAATGCGAACTTGTAGTAATTTTAACAGCTGTTAAAATACTACATGCAGCATAAAGCTATGCAGTGAGGGTATTACATTGGAGATGAGTATTTGCAATGAGCTCCAACTACAAGAGTTTGAATTCATGCATTCTGCAATTCTAACAACAGTATATGTCACATTGTCAGAAGGGTAGTTGAGCAGGTATTAGGATAAGATTTCAGGGGTTTTACAGGCAAGTCATTTGGTCTTCACTTGAGGTGAAAGGTTGCAAACTACTGACCAATGGTAATTTTTTTAGGAACACCATACAAACTAGATTTTGGTCTGACTTTGACTTTTGATTCTTGAAATGAAATTATGCTACTTCTTCAATTTTACTTGTTTATCTGGGCCGTAAAGGTGCCATCTTCTTCTTTGGCCTTAGTCCCGTATGGTTGCGGTGTCGGCTCTTTGTAACAAGTCCTCCATTTAGACTTGTCCATATGATAATGACTTTTTTACACATTCCAGCTGGCCTGTCACCCTCATACACTACGGACAATTTAGCCTACACAATTCACCAGTAGCATGTCTTTGGACTGTGGGGGAAACCGGAGCACTCGGAGGAAACCCAAGTGAACGCAGGGAGAACATCCAAACTCCTCACAAAAATGCCAACTGAGCCGAGGTTCTTCCTGTGAGGCGACAGCACTCATGCGTCACTGCTTTGCCCCCCTAAAGATGAATGAATGCATTAATACAATTTAGAATGCATTAATACAATTTATTTTGAAGGAATAAAAGTAAAAAGTTGACTGAAGCTTAAATAAATGTTAAAATAAGGGTGAAATTCATTGTTTAAATCTTAAAAATTGTTGAGTCAGAGTTTTGCACTTACTGGGTTTACATGAGAACGAGGAAACAATTGTGTATGAGACTCATGGGATGACATTACCCTACTTTTTTTTATTCAGCTATGCCTAAGTACATCCAGATTTTCATTCTATGGCACCTTTACGACTCTACAGAACATAAAGAAACTCCAAGCTTTCATGCCCTCGTCATTACAGACGTGATTGTTGTGTACCATAGATATGGACATTAGATGACGCCTACCCTGTTGTTGTCTATTGGAAGTAATGTGTCAATAGAGCCGCCATTTTAGTACAGGGTAGTGCTCCTTTGAAATGAATGCGGGACCAAGCTGCAGTGGAGGACTGTGGCCATTTAGAGCCAGAGATATACACATATATCTATGACTGGGAGTTTTCCTGGAGGTCAGTGTGCATTTTCTTTTTTTTTTTTAATTACGAAAATTATAATTTTACATCACTTTACTACATGGATCAGTGATCACACGAGCATTCCTGATAAAAAGCTTGTGTTTGTGTGTATGAAAATGTAGTATACACTCTCCCTGTTAAATTTGATCTAATCCGTGTCCTGAAACACACCTCCTCTCCCACTTTCACTTCTGGTTCTAACAGAGGGAGCAATTCGTTTGTGAATCAATCTCCATTATGAATGACTCCTTCACCTAGCCGTCTTGTTGTCATATTTCTTTTGCATTGTTTGCTGATTTTATTCAACAAAACTAGCATAAGCTAAGTATTTAGTGTAAGTTAGTGCTACTCTGCCTAATGGTGAATGCAGTAAGTGACTGTATTTTAATCAATAGCGTTACCTGTATAGCACAAAAGTTCATAACAGACAAAAAGGTAAATAACTAAACCTTACCTATGAAATGTTTTGCCTCTGTGCTTTGTTTTCTTTGTTTGCTCG